GCTAGCAACGGAGGAGGAAACAACCTCAGCTCGACGGGTAGTGGATTTGGTGCTGCATCCGGAGGTTCATCGTCGAGGGGTCGGCCAGGACCAAGGACCCCACCTAAGGGTTTTGTAAGACTGAGCCCAGCGGAGATCGAGCAGAAGAGGCGAGAAGGAAAGTGTTTCAACTGCGATGAGCGGTTCACTATAGGACACAAGTGTTCGAGGCCAGAATTAATGATGGTGGTGGGGCGCTGGGAGGATGAGGCCGAAGATGAGGCGACGGACCTTGGGGTGGATGGTCGGACGACCGACTAGCAACCTTGGGGTCAAGGTTGTTCCGAAGAAGGAGGGGATGATAGAAAGCGCGATTTACATTCTTTCTGCATTTGAACTTATGTGTTGAATTATTACTGTTGGGGGATTTGTTGGGACATTTCGGAATTATTGGGGGAGAGTAATATGTTTGGGTAATTAGTAGGAATTGTAGTTTAGTATATAAACCTTTTTAGAGAGTTAGGTCAAGGTTAAACAGAAGATTAAACCTAATTATATTGCCTAATCTCTCACTTTCCCTCACTCTAGCCGACCCCTCTCCTCTGCTGCCGCCACAGCCTTCCTTCCCTCTCCTCTTCCATTCTTCGACTCTTCTTCTTCCTATAATCCTACTACAGTCGATCACCACCTCGGTGATTGGCCTCATTTCTCCCAATCCCTAGTTAATCCGATAGAACCTGATATACAAGTTTCTATCACTTTGCTACGACAGTTTAAGGCGGAAGAAGATGAGTGGCAAAATGTGACTGCCCCCATGTCGCTGCACAATGGAGTTGCAATTGGTCGAGGAACTTTGGATGTAACTAGTTCCCCTACACGTACGGTATCGAATGGGGTATGCCCACCGGGAAGAGTTCTGGTACGCTTTGACGAGGCATGGAAGCGCGGTGCTGGTGGCGCTATTGGTTTTGCGGGATTTACAAAGAATGGGGCATTGTTATTTGCCTTTGGTAAACACTATTCAGGTATCTCTGATCAGTTTCTAATGGAATTACTGGCATTACGTGATGCTATTTCCTGGTGTTTAACTCATGGTTTTCTTGGTGTGAATTTCTGTGGGATTGTCAACTCTTGGTACGCCGAGTTCGCGCGAGAGAGACGGATCACGATATGAGGGGTACATTTTTGGAGGAAATCCGAGTTCTACGCTCGTCGTTCTTGTTCTTTGAATGTACTTTTACCCCTCGCGGGTTTATAGGGCCGCTCATTTAGTGGCTCAAAAGACTCTTGCATCGGCAGTTCGACTATTTGTCGACTGCTGCGTTTGGTTGAGTGTTGTTCTTTAACTATTGGATATTTATTATCTATGACAAAAAAAAAATGAATGAATTGTGGAGATGGTTTAAAATGTGAATTACTATTTGCAGCTCGACAAATTACTATTTGCCGCCCATAATTTAAAACAAAATAACAATTTTGCCCTTACCTTTTCAATTGAGATTTGCCGAATATAGGAAAAAGTAGATTCGACGGATTCGCCAAAAGCCAAACCTATCTTTTTCTTTGTTCCTCACGTCGCTTCTTCCCACCCGCCACCAGCCACCCCGCAACGGCAAGCAAGCCAGCACTGCCACTGCTTCCTCCCATCCGAACTAGCTCAATAGTCATGTTTGTTTGTTATTGGACTCCAAAAATAAACGTCGATCAGGCCTACTAACGTTGTCCGACGCCGACAATCGGAAGGTGAAGCTTAGTCCAAATCTGGCGACCAGACGTACCGTGAGGCAGGTTCTGAAGAAGGAGAAAGGACGGTGAGGCGCGGTCCGACGCCGACGATCGGACGTGGTCCGTCCGACGCGGGCCTACGGATGGGGTCCGACGCCCACGTTGGGACGGGCCCCGTCGCCCACGTTTGGACGGTGTCCGTCGCCGTCGACGAACATTTTTTCTTCAAAAAATATGTTTTTTACATGTCAAAAAATCAGTTTTTGATTATTTATAAGTCAATTAAAAATTATGATTTGCGATAATTGCTATTTATGTACGCATTGATTTTGGAAGTTCTTTATCATGGTAATTGTTTTCTATTTTTTAGGCGGAAACTAATAAAATAAATTTATATATTGAAGTAATTAACGGATTATCAAATCAGATTAAATGTGGAGTAAGCGTGTGATTTAATACTCCTTTATTGATTCCCACCCATTACCACGAGTAATTATATTTACATAGTTAGAAAGGGAAAAAAGCAACCAACCAATTGTTATAATGAGAAATTAGTGGTACATATAGGAATTAGTGGTCTGCCGATAGATGAAGGGAAGTAATCGCAAGTGAGGTTTTGGTCGTGAAGGTGTTGGGTTTGAGGTCGGCCAGCTGAGATCTATAGGACAGTGGGAGGATGTTGTGAGTGACAGTTGTGGGTGTAGGGCAAAAACGTCATTTGCTTCATATTTGTAGGCGACAAATAGTAAATCTGTCGGGCGACAAATAACAACTAAGTTGAACATTAAAATTTGGGCATTGCTATTCGTCGCCCTAAAATTTCTTATTCGTCGCCCTAATTCAGTCAAATTTACTTTAATGTCCTTAAATCATTTATTTTTCTTTCAAACACTTATCCCAACTTAAACTCATATATTGCACCAAAATTAACAAAATATAAGGAAAGAAACAACAAAATAAACCTCAAAATAAACTCAGCGACGGTGGCAACCTTTCTATGGCCATATGATCAATGCCCTTGGCCTCAGTTCCACCCTTGCTAGAATGCTGTGTTTTTTTTTTGTATTGCTGATATATATAAACTGGGTTCAACTGAAATTAGCAATTTGACTTTGAATCAGTGAGAATAAGAAATATATTGGTACTCTTAAATTCATTGAGCAAATTTGAGTAGTCAAAAAGCACCAAGTCACCAACTTTATCTACTAATCGAGTAGGAACTCTTCCTTCCTCTGCAGCCACGGTGGCGACGGGAGGCAGATCGGCGTCGGGCAGGAGCAGGGCAGCCGGCTTCCTCCATCCCTCCGCACTCGAGTAGTAGCAGCTGGAGCAGGTGGCAGGGTTAGAATTATAATTGAGTTGAGGGTATATATGTCAATTTGTTGTGTTTTAGGGCGATAAAATTTGAATTTTAGGGCGACGAATAGCAATTCAGTAAAATTTTGGGTTAATTGCATGGTTGGTCACTGAGATTACAAAAATCGTTCATTTTTTGTCACTGAAAATATTTAAATCCAATCTTGGTCACTCAAATTAGTTAAATTGTTCAAGTTTGGTGACTCTCCGTCCAACTCCGTTAAATATGTCTGATGTGGCAGTCAACCCTCAAAATTGACTGTTAACTCGGTGACGTGACAATTAAAAAATAATAAATAAAATAAATTTTAATCTTCTACCATTTCCAACTCATTTTCATAAAGTAAAAAAAAAAATTATGTTTGATCCTTTAAGTATACTTATCTAAATCATTTTCCCCCCTTCTTCAACGATATATTCTGTTTGAGGCAAAGCTGTATGCAATCAGTCATCCCTTAATTTTTGGTTTGGTTGTTGACTTGTTGTTATCAGTTGGTCGGGCGGCTCGACAATAGTGCTATCTCTGCCATCGGTGCAAAACTGGCTTTCAAGTCGAATGAGGAAGTAGCAGTTCAAGTAAGGACGATCCCTCTGGATGAAGTGATCCCATATTCACAGCCTGTGCTTCTGCTCAAAATTGATGTCCAGGGCTGGGAATATCATGTCCTCAAAGGAGCCTCTAAATTACTCTCCAGCAAAAAGGGTGAAGCCCCATACATTATCTATGAAGAAGACGAGCGCCTGCTTCAAGCCAGCAATAGCAGTGCCAAAGAGATTCGAGATTTCCTGCAGACTGTTGGCTACCATGATTGCACCCAACATGGTACGGACGCCCACTGCACCAAGAGCTAAAGTTTTTGGCATGATTAATGTAGAAAGCTGATATTCCAGGATTCATTATTCATTCAGGATCTCATTTTTGTAATGTTCATTTGCTTGCGAGGATTGTACATTGAAGTTTAATTTTATTAGAAAGAACTGGAAGAAGGAAGGAAAACAAGGGTAGGAATTTGTACTCGGATTTTGATTATATATCTATGACTAGTGTACTTAGAGATCAACAGACTAATTGCTTTACATTGTACAATTCTTGATTGAATGATAGACAACAAGCATTCTTTCTGCAATTCTATACATGAGAGTTTGATCTGGTGATGTGCATCTTCATCATTAAATTGGAACTTCTTTTGTTCTGCTTCTCTTGAACCAGAGGTATAAAAGGAAGAACAAGTAGTATACTAATTACCCAGACAGTGACGGATTTGGACCAGAACCCAGATTCAGAAATGCCCCCAATCGATCTCCAGGGACGGGATTGACGGAGAAAATGTCCAGCGGGCAAGTGAACCGGGTGGGATCCGAGAGGGAGATCCCGAATCGAGGGAAAAACAGGGAAGAGAAGTCGAATCAGTAACCCGCAATAAATGGATGGAGAAAATGAAGGATTGATTTTGAGAAGTTGATTTGATTGGCTGATAGAGCTGAGGTCACTGCGCGGAAGAACTAGAGAGTAAATGCGGACAAAGGAAGATTTTAGAGGAGACGCAAGAATTGTTATTATAATAATTTTTTTATTTTTTTATTTTACTTAAATTGAGTTGGAAATGGTAGAAAATTAAAATTTATTTTATTTATTATTTTTTAGTTGTCACGTCACCGAGTTAACGGTCAACTTTGAGGGTTGACTGCCACATCAGACATATTTAACGGAGTTGGACGGAGAGTGACCAAACTTGAACCATTTAACTGATTTGAGTGACCAAGATTGGATTTAAATATCTTCAGTAACCAAACATGTACGTTTTTTGTAATCTCAGTGACCAACCATGCAAGTAACCCTTAAAATTTTGGGGTGGAGTTCCTAAAAAAAATTGGGGGTGGAATTCGTTATTTTCTCTCTTGACCTACAAAACGCAACATATTGTCTCCATCGTTCGTTCGATCATCGATCCTTTTCTTCGCTACACAACTCCATTCCCGAAGAATGGTGGGTCTGCTCGAGAATGCTGCTTCATGTCGCAGAGATTTGCGCTGATGGGTCTGCTCGAGAATGCCAGAGTCGAAAAGAATGGTGGGTTTCTCGTCCAAAAAACCGCGGTTCCCGGTCGCGCCTGATGATTTGTTTTGGTGGTAGTCTTCTGTTAATCATCCACCGGTTAAGTTGTGTGGTCGTCAAATATTGATGAACTCATAGGGTTAAAATACGGGGTTTTGACTCTGAATTTGGGAATGAAACTCATTAGGGTTCCTGTTACTCGCTGTTTGTTGATGAGAACTTCATTTCTATAGTATGGGTTTTCTATCTCCAGAAGAAAAGTAGTGAACTTGGTTTCCCTTTTTGTTTGTTTGTTCCTGATTTTTCAGAGGCATAGAGAACCACCAAAGTTTCCTTGTGAAACTGGGGTAGAGCTAGACAGATTAAGCAGCTTGCCTAAGCGTGTTCTGTACCAAATTCTGTCACAGCTCTCCATTAGAGATGCTGTGAGAACGAGTGCCTTGTCTAGGAAATGGAGGTACAACTGGACGAAAAATCCCAATCTTGTGTTTGACAACAACTGCATTGCATCTCCTTCTCAAGATCAGGCCCATATCAAGAACAAACTAGTTAACGTTGTTTATCACGTCCTGCTACACCACACTGGAGCCATTGACAAGTTTAAGCTCTCCCACCGTGAATTGGTAGGTGCTAGCGACATTAACCGGTGGATTCTCCATCTGTCGAGCCGCCCGATCAAGGAGTTCGTCCTCGAGATATGGAAAGGGACTCGGTACGAGATTCCATGTTGTCTGTTCTCTTATCAGAATTTAATCCACTTGGAGCTGTTCAATTGTTTGCTGAGACCGCCTTCGAGTTTCAAGGGGTTTGGTAATCTCAAGAGTCTTGATCTGCAACATGTCACTCTTGCACAGGATGCGTTTGAGGATCTAATTACTAATTGCCCTTTGCTCGAGAGGCTAGCTCTCATGAATTTTGATGGTTTCAGTCAACTCAAGATCAATGCACCAAACCTGCAGTTCTTTGATATTGGCGGTGTCTTTGATGATGTGAGTTTTGAGCATACTTTTCATTTGACTCTTGTTTCCATTGGGTTGTATAAGAACCTGAAAAATGAACGGAATGTGGCGCTGGGTGGAAGCTCGAGTAAACTGCTCAGTTTCTTTGCTAATCTTCCTTATATACGAAGGCTAGAGGTTCAGAGTTACTTTCTCACGGTAATCATTACCCCTCCCTACTACTTAGTACACCTTAGAATGTTCTGCAAATAGATTGTCGACGCGTATTTATTCACTCAGGGCTCTTTAGATTTTATGCATTTCTGAGGGTGGAATGGTGGATTGTGCATACAGTCTACAGTTAGACTATAAAAGTATTAGGGTGTGTTACTGCAATGTATTTGACAACATATCCGCTTCTAAGAATCATTTGTGACTTACTGCAGCTCCTTAGTCTTTTCATGTTCTTTTCGTTTCCTTCTGTTAATAAAAATCTCAGTCACCATTATAAAAAAAACAATCACTTGTGACTTGTCCAAGCAATAGATTTTGACAATATACCTATTCCTGAAGCTATCATTCTTAACAATATACCCATTTTGACATTTCGCTGTCCGAACGACCCCTCAATTTATGCAGAGTGATTTTCTTATGGATGCTTCTGTCAAGAGTTTGTTTCTACCACTGAAACATATAATTGGCTTAGGTGCACTTACATTTCATATGCAACCATTTCGCCTCATCTTTTCTCTTTTCTTCAGTATTTGGCCATGGGAAACGTCCCAACCAGGCTGCCAAAACCATGTACCGATCTGAATTACCTTTCAATACGCGTAAACTTCAACGATATGGACGAGAGTGCTGCTGCTCTGTGCCTCCTGAAAAGTTCACCTAATCTGCAAGAAGTAGAGATGATGGTAAGCTGTTTGTTCTTCGTACTACTACTAAATCCAGACTCATATGCTACATTTTTCCTGATATCCAACAACTTGACTTTTAAGGCTCGCCCGGAAGAACAGTCTGGTGGTGGAAGAACAATAACCAGCTCCTGGGAAGATGATCATTGGACTAGTCTGTTTCTCCAACTGCGATCAGTGAAGCTAGTTGGCATCTCTGGAGTTCAACCTGAACTCGACTGCATAAAGTTTCTGCTCTCGAATTCGCCGGCCCTGGAGAGAATGAGCATCAAGCCGATATTGGTTGATGGAGGGTTGGACTTGCTCAAGGACTCGCTTCAATTCAGTCGGGCCTCTGTTATGGCAGAGATAATTTATCTAGACCCGTAAAAAGTTGCTTCTGCTGCTAAAATTCGTTGCTGTTGCGGAAAAGGGTATAAACTATGGAATCTATCTACCTAAGCAATTTCTCTATTTATACTTCATCATTTCAATTTTCTAGACTTCTTGTAAATTCGAGAAGAAATTCATGTTAGGACAAATTCTTTTATGATATAAATTGAACATATACCTTTAATATTATGATACAAATTTAACTTTGATCTAAATGTATCAGTGGTTAATGATTATGAGCATTTTAGAATTCCTTTTATTACTATGGATGTTTATTCAGTGTCATTTATGCTAACAATCAAAATCATTGCTATTCTTAGTAATAGTCGTAAAAAATATTTTGTTAGGAAATAAAAAGCTTTAGTTTTTACTTCTTTCACGTATTTTTTCTATCAATATTTTATAAGGGACGAAGAAAAGCATAATGAATGTCATTTATCTAAAAGGTATTTTTTATAGAATTTATGTAAAGAGACGAAACAATTAATTCATGCAAATTTGTGTTTATTCATGCAATTTATGATCGTTTATGTAATTTGGTGCTAATTCATCTGATACTTATGATTATTCACGCAATAGAAGTCCAAAATTTCCATTTTTGTTTCCCTGATATTTTGTATTGACCATATTTTATGGAAATAAATTTGTGTTTTCATTTTTTAAATGAGTTTGATTGATCATAATATACACAATGACATCCATTTTGATATATTTTAAAATTACAATGACATCCATTTTGATATATTTTAAAATTTTAAAATCATTTTACAACAAAATGAATAAATAACAATATGCGTGAATACTGTTTGCGTGAATTAACTACCACTCTTACATGATTAAAATCAATATGGTCTGAATAAACACAAATTTACATGAATGAATGCAAAAATGCGTGAATTTGATGTTGTAACTCTTAAGGTGTCACCAAACCTTTTCCTTGTCAATTATATAGGGATCTTGTTGTGGAAATTGTTCACGTATACTATTTTCTTGCAACACAAGCAAACACATAAGATTAAGAAAACATGCAAAGACACATGCAAGCGTCCTAACCGATAGAATTCACTATCTCTCATTAAAGAATCTTATTCCCCTCTAGTACCCAAGGTTATGGAATGATTCCTCCCAGGATAGAAAGGACATACCTTTTCCGGCGTAGCGGTACCTCAAACCCCGGAAACCATCGAACGCAGCGAACCGGCGAGAACCACACTTGACTCTATTTTCTCTTTGAAAAGAATGCTAAAAACTAATTTTGGATTTTGGCAGAATTTTGGTACCGGAAAAATTCATGTAAAAACCAGGGGGTTAGGTGCTATTTATAGAGAATGAAGGGGCGGGTACGAAGAGAGGCAACTCTTCGTATGTAGTGATGGCAATGGGGCGGGGCGGGTACCTCAATTCCCATGCCCCGCCCCACGCTACTACGGGTCGGGGCGGGTAAAACCCGTGCGGGTACGGGGCGGGGCGGGGCGGGTCGACCCACTCTTACATGTTGTTCACAAAAAATACAAGTAAATTTTACTTTTTACAATAAAACGTAGGGAAAAACACTTTAAGAATGAAAAATATTGATAATAGAATGGATAATTGAGCCTAACAAGTTGAAAGATCGACTCTAACTAGTTGAAGAAAAGTCAAAATAGGAGAAATATGTATAGATATTGTAAGAAATTGAGATAAAATGAGTCTAGAACGGGGCGGGGCAGGGCGGGTCGGAAGTAGATACCCATGCCCCGCCCCACGCTACTGCGGGTCGGGTTATACCCGCCCCATCGCGGGTCAGGTCGGGTAATACCCGCGGGGCAGGTTGAAATTGCCATCACTATTCGTATGGGTGGTTACACCCCCAACCAACACATTGGTTCATTTTTAAAATAATGAACCATTGCATCGGTTCGGTCCATGGTAGTTGGACCAGTTTGGTTATTCCAACCACCATATCGGTTCGGTTCGATTTTGTTCTACTCGATTTGTTCCGGTTGGTTACACAAACCAATATTACCGATTACCCACATATTACATCAAATCGACCGAATTCGCGGCCATGCCTTCCCACAGATTACCAACATGGTACTTCAAGAGTGTCTCTTGACTCATTCCCCTGTCATTTCCATTCACACCATTGAAAATCTCAACAGATCTACGAATATCATGTATTCTCAAAATTAGGGGGAGTTCATTGTTACCAAATAACCCTTGAGTTTTGGAGACACGGGGGCGGGTCAGATCCGGTGCTTAAGTATAGAAGTTTAAGCATATGCTTAAAACAATTCTATTTGCTTATGGGTTTCTAAGTAGTTTTTGGTAAGTTAGTAGTTAATCTACACAATAAATAAAAGCCAAATGAGAAAACTTGAAGCCTCGTTTCAAATTTCCTGCATTTAGAGTGAAAGTATGAAGGACATTTTGGTCTTCACAATTACTTTTTTTATTCATTAAAAAGACACTTACTAGGATTCGAACCATGACCACTTAAAAGAAAAACAAAAATCATAACCAATCACACTAAGTACATTTGTTGTATTTTTTTAAATTAAAAACATAAAATCGCAGAGAGGAAAAAACCCTTCCCCCATTTCAAATTCCCTGCTCCATGAGCGTTTGTAGGAAGGGTAGAATAGGGAGTGTCAATTTTTTTCATTTTCCTCTGTGGAACGGGCCAACTTACCGTACACATGCGGATTTAAACGGGTCCAGGAGTGTCAATTTTTTCTTTAAGTCTTTTTATTTCTCCGTGGTTGTAAAATATATATGAAAAGGCAAAAACAATACTCCTTTTTATTGCTTAAAAGAAAAAATTTAACAATAAACTAATGCATGGATTCTAATGGGTTAATTGCTAATCATAAAATAAAAAAGTTGAATGGGCCTGACCTACACGGGATTTGCCCATCAAGTAAAACAAATGAACATCATGGGTTTGTCATTCTAAAACAAGCTATTTTCTCTAGCATAATATATATTATGCTATTATTTTATATCTTAATGGCTAAAATATAATGTATTTTAAAGTTATTCAATGGTACAACCTCGACCAACCCAATTAGTCCAATTTTTATCATTTCAAATATATATTATGTAATTATTTGATATCATAATGATTAAATTATAGTGTATATTATAGGGAATCGTTTGGTATTTTTTATTAAAAAACTAAAAAGAAAGATCTATTTGGTTATTTTTAACATTAAAACGATCTTAAACATTTCGAGTTTCTTTTCGAAATTCTATAGTTTTATTCCCGAATCAGTGATGTGCAAATGGCGAATTGCAGTCATCTCTTTTCTTTCATTATTTTTTATTTTCAAATAGAAAGTTTAAAATTAAAGAATAATTAGAGTTTGGCATGGGTCGGTCAAACAGGCTGAATTTCAAGTTTTGGCCCATTTTGATCAAGTCTAATTTATAATCACATGGTTCCTTGATACCCGATAAAAATCTCAATCCAAACAAGTTTGGCAGGTGAGTCCGTGTTTACCACCATTTTCTAGGGATACAGAAAGCACAATGATGACAAGATGAAAGTTTTATAAAGCAAATTAATCGGCCAACGGGCTGAGTAAAAGCTAGCAACGATTGTGAGATGCTCATTTCCCAAAAACCGACGGGATAGGCAATTTTTTATTCAATTTTCTGGAATTCGGTTTCTATGAAACTTACTCCCCTCATCTTTTTTTTTTGACAAAAGATATTCATATATATAGAATCAAAAAAGATAGTTACATCCTGGAGCACAGCCAGGTCTAGAAATCAAACAAACGACTCGCAGTTGGAGACAATGAAAGGGCCTTTCTAGCCACCAAGTGGGCTACCCTATTGTTACAACGACCTACAAATCGAACACGGAAACCTGGATGTGAGGCAAAACACGAGACCACCTCTTCTAAAACCGCACCCATCCGAGTATCCCCAACCGCCGCACTATTGATCTTATCAATGACCACCTTGGCGTCCCCTTCAAAGCAAACCTCCGAGAACCCGTTCGCCAGACACCAGCAGAAAGCCTCGCGCAAGGCCAGCACCTCCACCACCATAGGGTCATCAATGCACTGGAATTGGAACCCTCGAGCCATCAAAATATACCAGAAACAATATTATTTCACAAGGTAACAGGTACTTGATTTTGGTTCATAAGTTTGATTTTTGATTCGTTGCATCATTCATGTCTTTTTCCTTACTAAAATTCACTATTTTTATCGCGTGTTTCCCAAAAAAAAAAAAACCATACAACAATAAGTTACACACCCCGTTACATTATCCAAAAAGTCACCACTGTATACTCCCTGCCGGGCGAGTCCATCATCTGCGCCAACTCCCCCGGTCGTCTTCGCCGGCAGAAAGAAAGCCGTCATCTCGGCTCTGGCATTAAATGACTAATCCAATGTTATATGTACATTACTTTTGCTATGTCCGAATCGTTATATTAACAATGCCCTCAAATTATATTACTAATCCTTGTTATACAATTAATAACTGACCCGCGCCTAACTTTTTTTTCCCTTTTCCTGTTGAATAAAACTTTCGTGTATAAACATGCCGAATGATTTGTAATAATATTACTGATGTTATATCATTTGTTTATGATGACAACATTTAGAATCTCCGCAATCCCATATCCCACCGGGCACCGACGTCCCCGTTTGAATCTCCGCCATCCCGTCGCTACAGTTCCCGCGTCTCTGGTGCCCCGACTATGCCATCCCGCCGCTACCCATTTCGAAGCCGAGATGGATGTTTCTCGAACGTTTGTTATACTTATACTGTTATACATACGAATGTCGTATTCGGATATATATATATATATATAATTGTTAATGTTTTCATGCTTTACGGTGAAAAATGACGAGATAAAAAAAGAAGGGGGTCTGGGGTTCAGGGATCTGTCAAGCTGGAACCAGGCTTGTATGACCAGACACATTTGGCTGATTCTCTTGCAAGAAGGGTCCATCTAGGCAGCCTGGATTCACAGATTCAAGCTTAAAGGCAGGAACTTTTGGACCTACACCTGTTCTTCTGGTTCATGGAACTGGAGGAAGATTCTAAAACTAAGGCAGAGAGTAGGTCCCTACATCTCTTTCAGGGGAGAAGAAATCTTGTTGGAGGGCTCTCCTATGCCTATTTTCTCTATCAAGAGGGTCTGGAACCTCCTTAGACCTTTCAGAAGCACTGTAAGTTGGTGGAAGATTCTATGGAAAGGCAGGGGTATACCAAGAAATCGGATTCTAACATGGTTGGTAATGAGAGATAGTGTAAACACTAAGGTGAAAATGCAAAAATGGGGTGTCACAGGAGACTTGAAGTGTGTTTTGTGTGAGGATGGAGTTGAAGATAGGGACCATCTCTTTGTGCATTGTCCTATCTCTCGACAGATCCATATCTTAATGTTTGGCAGGAAGCTCTACATTCCTCCTATGTAGAACTGGGAAGATGAGGTAGGATGGGCTGTTTTGAAGCTTAGTGCTGTATCAGAAGAAGCAGAAGCGAGAAGGATCATATGGCAGAGCTGGGTGAGTAATGTCTGGCGGGAAAGATGTAGAAGAATGTATGTTGGGCAGGTGATCTCCTCAACTGTGTTACTGAGGATGATTAAGTCTGAAGTGGAATGTTTCTTGGGTAGACAGAGAGTTACTCAATTTTGGGAGTGATTTTGATTGTTTGTTTGTCTCAGAGGTATATGAATTTTGATTGTGGTCTTCTTTTCTTTGGTTATTACATCACCCTTCTAACAGGGTAGTTGTTAGCAACTTTCTTTTTGATGAAATGAAACCCATCGATTCATAAAAAAAATGACGAGATATCATTAATAATAATTTCATAAATATCCTAAAGTTTTCTAGGAAATGTCAATAATGATGATTGTATATTGTTAATTGTTCGAGCCTCGTAACCCCCGAGCCTGCTTCTCCGAACCTCCGTCTGACGGACTTCTCCCCAGACGCCAAGATCCTGCAGGGACAGATGCCTAAGGGCTTTGAGAGGCCCGTTAGCACTCCAACGCTCAAGTCAGTCCCAAGCTTAGAGAGAGAAGTACTCCAAAGATTTTAGTGAGAGAGACCAACCTGCTTAAATGCTACCTACCGAGTACTATTTATACTCGTCGAGGCCCCGACCGGGCTCCTAAAATCCAGCTCCACGTCAGCGCGTCATTAAATGCTCGATACGGCCCAACGGTCGGGCGCCTCCACGTGGCAGCTCCTGGGCTCCTGGCACCTGGCGCCTGCAGGGACCACCTAGCCAGGTGGCACGCTATAAGCACTCTGGTCCCTTTTTGTCGTCATGCGCCTGTTGACTGTTGACTGGGCCTTACTCCTTATTTTCATCCCCATCTCCTAAAGCGGGCTTGGGCCTGAGCATCTTGGACGGGCCAATGTCCCCCAATAGCTCACCTATGCATACACCCAACAATTGTCTCCCAGTTAGGCGCTCATGGCATGCCATGAGTGTCTAACTATATACGTAATTCCACTGCCCATGGCGTCCAAACGACTACAAGATGATCCGGGCGCCCTCGACCGCTTTGCTTTAACTGTTTAGATCATTTTTAGGCGCTTTCCAGAGTGTTTTCGTGAGCAAACCTTGTCCCCCCGTTCTTGCCCCGACTATGGCTCCCTCGTCCTTTGTTTTTCCATCCGCGTTTGAGCATCCCTAAGAATGCTCCAAAACCATCTAGTTAGGCGCCCCAGCTAATCAAATTATGAAGTCCATGGCGCGCCCGTCCCTATATGCCCCCTTCTCCGTGCGTCTTGAAATTTGAATTTCAAATCGTTTTTTTTAATTCAAAATTCAAACGGACGGTGAGGATGAGATCTGAGGCTCGGGCGCGCATCCCCGTAGTTGCCCGTTGGGTTCCTCCACATATAAATACCTCATTCCGCCTCCTCTCCTCCTCATTCGCACAAATCCTTTCTCTTTCTAACTCGATCTGACCCTCTCTCTCTCTTCGCCGAGCTGCCTGTGCGCCTGCTATTCTCTTCCTGCTTCTTCATGATGTCTACCAAATCTGGCTCGGGCGCACCCTCCACCAGCCCGGCGATGGAGAAGCCATCGAAGCCCGACGTTTTACAGGAATTGGAGGGACACTTCTCTCCTGATCCGCTACGCGAGAAGGGCGCCTGGACCCCTCGCACCAGATCTCAGGCGTCTAGCAAGAGCGATGCCCCCTCGACCACAACGCCACTCAGCTCTCAGACGACGTCTGCACGTGATACTGCCGACAAGGGCGCGGCGGCGCCTATCTCCAACCCCCTTGAAAACCCTGCTAGAGACGCGGCGGTGCCTTCGAATCCCCAACCGAGTAAGTGATTTTTTTAGGGCCGGTGCTTTTAGACTATAGGGCTCAGAATTGATACCTCCCTTTGCGTCGACCCTTATAGGCGCCTCGCCTGGCTCATCGCGTTCTTCCGGACCGACAGTGTCTCCCCCATCTTCGGACTCGGACGCCGAGGAGGGTGATTCCATTAAACTACGGAGATGGGTGGACACCTGGCCGTCGGGGCAGGCGCCTGACGAAACACACCACTTTTCACTTCAAGAAGGAGGGCCACGTAAAATTTCAACCATCAAATCGTTGGAGTTAGAGAATCTGGTCGTGTTGATGCAACTCCCACGATCCTGGTCCTATGCGCCTGCCTCCAGTATGGCAAAGGTTGGAGTAGTTGGGCCTCGGTGGCTTGGCATCTACCGGGAGTATTTTCGTTTTGGGCTCCGATTTCACCTCGACTCTATCCTAGAGGGCATTCTAACCACTTGCCGATGTTCGCTTGGGCGCCTGTCGCCCTCCGTTTTCCTCATCCATATTCTGTTTAAGTTGAAATGTCGTCAACATAACGTCGAACCCACCTTCAACCTTTTCCACTACTTTTTCAACATGGTCTACTTTGACAACTGCCTATCGCTGCAAAGGCGCCTAGGTCTCCCCGGCCATTTCTTAATAGAATGTCCCAAGTTAGGGAGGGAGTGGTTTAGGAGCTACTTCTTCGTAAAGGCGCATAAGGATTCCTTTTACAAAAGTGGCGCCTCGTTCACCAGAGGTTGGGTGATGGGCAGTCATGAGGCCTTCAACGTTGATGTGACTCTTTCCACTGCTGCGGATATTGAAGGCGCCCGGCTCATTTCCTTGTATCCTGTGAACCTTCGTCCCACCAGCGCTCGGGCGCCTGTGCTGGAGGATTATTATCGTGATGGTGTGCGCTTTTTTTTTTTTACGAACTCTAACTAAATTTGTTTGTGCAGGCGCCAACTTCACTTCCATGAGCACATTGATGAAGTCGCGGTTCGCGCAACTTGGACTGGCGCCCAAGCAGGCGCCTACTGCCAAGAAAGGTGGCAAGAAATCAGGTGGGGCCGCCAAACCCACCTCTTCGAAGGGCGCCGGTTCAAAAACAGCTAGGGCTATGCCCGTTACTAGTAAAGGGCAGGGGCGCCCAAGCCGGAGGGTTAAATCTCCGAAGAAGATTCAGCCGACCAAGGTGCCGAGCCCCCAGGCGTCGGAGCCCTTAGGAGATTTGCTAACGACCTGGGATGCGCCTCCTACAACTGATCCGGTAGGTGTACAGGCGCCTGTGGTTGACCTGCTCGAGGGGTCTGATGATCCCGAAGACAACGAGCCCTTATCCCTTAGGAAGAAGAGGAAGGCAGAAGGCGCCCAGCAAGACTCGGGCAAACGAATGCGCCTGTCAGACGAGGCTGAGGTGCCGGAGGGGTTGAAGAAGTGGCTTCAACCTCCGAAGCATAAGGTGGACATAGTTTGTTCCGACCGGTTAGCTTTGGAACGAGGCGCCGCCATTCACATGGCTCTTACTGCGGGGGATGTACTCCGGGCTAACCTAGACCTGGAGGGCGCCGATCCTTGGGGTGAGGTGGCCAGAATAAACGCCCATGTAAGTTGTTTAACTTGTATTTTATTCAACATCTTTGTTTATACAGTCAGAACAAACGTCTGACCATCTTATTCCGCACTTATGCCTATTTTGTAGATGATGTTGGTGGCGAAGAAGGGAATAATGGAGCGCGAGGCGCTACGCGCCAAGGCCCGCGAGGCAACCACCTCGCTCAGTGTGGCCCAGGATAACCTTGCGACTGCTCAGAGGCGCCAAGAGGAGCTGGTGTAGATGTGCAATGAGGCACAACTTGAGGCCGCGAAGAGCGCCTCACTTGTGCAAATAAAAATTGATGAGGAGAGGAAGCGGGTGCGTGAAGAATACGAGGGGCAGCTCGAGGATGAAAAGAGGGCGCACGCCGAGACCAAAGTTAGGCTGGAGAAGGAAGGATGCGCTTGAAAGGGAGGCAGGCGATCTGCGGAGTGAGATGGATATTCTGAAGGAGGAGAAGGGCGCCCTGAAGAAGGAAAATAAGAACTTGAGCAGGGAGAATAAAAAGCATGTGAGCGTGATGCAGGCGCTTAAGGAGGAGAAGCAGGCGCTCGAGAAGGACAAGCAGGCGCTCGAGGCAGAGAAGGAAGTGTTGGAAGCGCAATCCGCGGACTTCGCGAAGTCGAGTGCTGGCCAGGCGCTTAAGGCTGATGCTGCTCTGAACAGCATTCTGCTTTGCGCAGGAAGCTCGCCGCAGATCATCCTGACCTCGACTGGGACCTTCAGTCGATGGTGAGCTTCGTTATTTCCCATATAGATGAGGCGCCTGTGGAAGGAGAAACACCCGCTGATGACCAGGCGCCTGCTGATGGCGACGAAGATGAAGATGAGGGCGATGGTGATTCTTCTGCCGATTCTGATAATGAGGCGCCTGCGGGGTAGTGCCCGACCCTTGTATATTATTATTTTTTATTTTTATTTTGGAAACTCCATATTGTGTTAATCTTCTTCCCTTGCAATGGGTCATGGCGCATGCCAAACTGTTTCATTGTTTCACCGTGGATTTTGTCTATGCCTCGTTTAGGCGCCTTTGAATCAAATGTTTATGAACTTTCTTGCTTTTGATGGGCGCCTATCTATGCAATCCCCTCACAAACTTTCATAACTACATCTTGTTATGTTAGGCATCTTTATGATAAAAGTTTATGAACTTCCTTGTTTAGGCGCCTTTGAATCAAATGCTTATGAACTTTCATGCTTTTGATGGGCGCTTATTTAAGCAACCCCTTCACAAACTTTCATAACCATATCTTGCTATATTAGGCGCAAAAATACGGGCGCTATAATGGGCGCGCGCAATGCATTGGGCGCAAATATACGGGCGCAAATAATTAATCCAATTGTGGAAAATGGGCGCAAAATGTGGGCGCTTTACATGGAGCGGGCGCAAGTGGGGCGCTTTAAAAAATTTCGGGCGCAAAGAAGGGCGCTTTTGACAACTCAACATAAACCTACTAAGCAAAACAAGCCCTCCCCAACAAACGCCTCGCTACTTACTTCTACTCCTGGCCGGGCGCCTGTGCCTCTGTCACGGACACAACACCAGTCATTCCCTCCATTTCGTACCTCCGCAAATTTTGGGCGTTCCATGTCCTCTTGACCCTCTTACCCGACATGTTTTCCAGCTTAAACGTATTCGGGCCAACAATTTCCTGAATGCGATATGGTCCCTTCCACTTTGGTGCCAACTTCCCTTCCGCAGCATTGGGACGAAAATCTCGTTTCAGCACAAGGTTGCCCACAACAAGGTTGTGCGCCCTCATCTTCTTGTTGTAATACCTTGCAACCTGACTCTTCATTGCGACCAATCGTAGAGCCGCAACCTCCCGGCGCTCATCCAATAGATCCAACTCGTCGATCCGCTCCTGGGCGCCCATTGACTCGTCTCGGCGAGTCATTCGGAAAGTCGGGACTCGCATTTCCACGGGCAAAACAGCTTCGCTCCCATATGTCAAGGCGAAGGGTGTCTCGCCCGTAGCCACCTTGAACGTGGTTTTATGCGCCCACAAAATGTTCGGCAGCTCCTCCACCCACTTGCCCTTGGCCTCCGTCAGCCTAGTGTGCAATCCATGTAGTATGCTTTTATTGGCCGCCTCAGCTTGTCCGTTGGCTTGTGGGTAAGCTACGGAAGAGAACCTCAAAATCACTCCATTCTCATCGCAAAACTCGATGAATTTTTTGCAATCGAATTGCTTCCCGTGGTCAGTGATGATAGACTCCGGGAGTCCAAATCTAGCAAAGATGTTCTTCTTAGTGAACTTCCGGACCTGTGACTCAGTGATCGATGCCAACGGCTCTGCCTCGATCCATTTGGTGAAGTAGTCCACTGCCACAATCAGGTACTTGAACTGACCAGGCGCCTTAGGAAAGGGGCCCAAGAGGTCCATGCCCCACTGTGCGAAGGGCCAGGCGCCTACGTTACCTTGCATGGGCGCCGCTGGGATGTGAACATCGTTGGCGTGAATCTGGCATTGGTGACAAGCTGCCACATGCTTTAGGGTGTCCGCCCGTATTGTTGGCCAATAATATCCTTGCTGGAGAAGAATTTTTTCTAGGCTTCGGGCGCCTGCATGCATGCCACAAGTTCCTTGATGGACTTCCTTGATTGCTTCCAACCCCTCACCTTCAGTTAGACACCTCAGATAGGCGCCCGAATGTGACCTCTTGTACAACACCCCATCAACTATGGCACAACGGGCCGCCTTTCTTCGCCAGCGCCATGCCTCTTTCGGGTCCTATGGTACTACTCCTTGGGTAAGAAAAAGCCAAATTGGTGTCATCCATCCTTCCCTTTCTCCTGTTGCGAGAGATGCCATTACCATCTCCTCATGCGGCACCTCTTTCGTTACGATCACCGTCAGACTTTCCTCAAAATTTAAAGCCGTCGCTAACTTGGACAAGGCATCTGCGTGGGCGTTCTCCTCTCTTGGAACGTGGGTGAACGTCACGTCCCGGAACCAGGGGCACCTTTTGCGTACGGCATGCACGTAAGCTCCTAACGTTTCTTCCTTCACTTCATACACCTCGTTCAACTGGTTAACCACCAACGCCGAGTCGGTTTTGACATTCACCTTCTGGGAGCCTAGCTCTCTAGCAAAATGGAGCCCCGCAAGGACGGCTTCGTACTCTGCAGCGTTGTTTGTCTTAAGAGTAGCGAACCGTAATGCCACCTCATGCAAGGCGCCTAGCGGACTGACAAGGACTACACCAGCCCCAGCTCCTGCCCTGCTGGCCGCTCCATCAACATGCACCTGCCAACATTCCTCCACACTGGCTCCACCGTCAGTTACGCCTTCCGCCGTAAAATCTGCTAATACTTGAGCTTTGATAGCTGGCCGGGGCGCAAACTGTATGTCAAACTCGCTGAGTTGCACGGCCCACTTCACCAGGCGCCCGGACACATCCATCGACCCTAGTATCGACTTGAGGGGAAGATTTGTGAGCACCACGATACGATGAGCCTGAAAGTATGGTTGGAGTTTGTTAGCGGCCATTACTACCACCAACGCCGCTTTCTCGATAGGCGCATACCGCGTCTCGTGACCCACCATGGTGCGACTCACATAATACACCGGCTTCTCTTCGTTCGTCAATGGGTCTTTGGAT